TGAGCTGCCATTGAGCTGCCAACAGGTGGTAGGATGGCTCAGCTTAAAAAAAAAAAAAAATTCAAATACACATTATCAGACCAGTTCCACGATATAATTAAATGCCATAATTGGGGATTTTAATAGTTTTAAAATGAGAATCAATGCTATAAGGACAGTGGAGTGTTCATGACCAAATCACCACGCACACCTCTCATTTAATTTACTCATTTTAAATGAGTTTCATACTATTAACAAAGAGATTTACATAAAAATTAAGAAATCAATATACAGATTAAACGATCTCTACCAATCAGAAATAACCATTATAATTAAGTTACAGTTATAATGTTATATTAATATATAATCTGAATAGGTAATAGTAGTAGAGACGTTATCTAGCGCATTCAGAAAGTCTGGATCCCAATGTGTAGGCTGAGTACCACTGGATTACAAGAAAAGAATGGAATGCATGTTCCAAGATTTACATCAATCAAGGTTAAATAGATTGTCAACGATAAGATTATAAACACCTTGGCTGAAATCAAACTTGGAATGAAACATGCAGTACTTCTGCTCTCACCCAATTCTAAAAACTACTATCTATTGTCTTGTAAAATGGAGGCTTGCTGTGTAAACATCTGACCAAGTGGTTCTGACATCCTTAAGTATCACTGACCGCACCAAGAGTTGCAGTTCAGTGCCCAGATCCCCATGGTCTCCAGGACAAAGGCCATTAACAGGGGTCCAACTATTTACTGACTTAGCAAACAGTTAACCTGCTAAATGCTAAAGCAATGGTTTTCCACCCTAAATTACTCATTTAATAGGCAGTTTTTTTACAAATGCCAATGCCCAGAAACCAGTCACAGAGATTCTGACTTAATTGGTGTGGAGCCTAAGCATTAGTTCTTTCTTTTTTTCCCAAAGCTCCCCGGGAAATTCCAATGTGCAATCAGGACTGATAACCACTGGCTAAAGAAGTGAAGGAGCCCCTTGTTGAACGGATCTGGCAGACACGTTAGACAAAGTCTAGCCAAGTCAATATGGAAGACATTATCTGATGAGTGGTAGGTCCTCAGCTCTCTGAGCGCACCTCAGCACAGGAGGGGCATCAGTGTGACCTGTGAAATGGAGTCGGATATCAGAGGCCTGTATTTTTCACAGGTTTACTATGCTCACTGGCTCTTAGGAACTAAGAGTAAAAGAAAATCAAAGTGAAGGGGAAGAGGAAAACATCACTCTGAACTCAAAGACAGAGTACTTCGGGAAAGTTAAGTTTAGAGAGTAGGCTACCTGGCCATAATTTTCATGGTGGACATCACAAAAGTAAAAACATCCTGTTGAGAGCAACTGCCTAAACAGTGGTATTATTTTCCAAGTGGACACAGCAATCCCTAGATTGAGGGTGTTCACAACCTTACTTACGATTAAGAGGGGGGCCTCAGAAATACCTTTTCTTAAGAGGCTGATAGAGAAACAGAGCTGTCTCTGACAAAAAAAGTAAAACTTTCATGAAGAGGGACTCCCAAAACACTGAGAAACCAACCCCAGAGTCAGAAGAAAAAGAGGTTACACATCAAGGAAAAAGTCCCTGAGTTACGTATAGTCATCAAAATTCCCTGAAATCATGGGAAGGGGCACACATATTATACATGTGACATCAGGGCCTGGCAGTCACACCGGAATCCCACAGCTCTGCAAACAACCATGTTGGTATTTCCTTACAAATAGAAAAACTTAGTTTTTCTGGGTCTAGGCCTGTGGCTCCTGATGGCCTAAGAATCCTTTTTGTCCTAAGCATGATTAGACTGACGCATGATGAATTTGTTCCACACAGGTTGAAGAGACGCATATTTTGCTTTCTCTCAAGGTAGGAACAGATAAGTACGAGCAAGGTGGTTCCGTAGTTTAAAAAAACCAAAAACAACAAAAATTTTCAAACAAAAGTAGTTCTGCTGGATGTGTCATTTGAGACCCATTCTACCCTCATCATTAAAAAGTCCAAAGGAATAACTGGATTGCAGGTTAATGACTGACTCACTGCACAAAGGTTGCAAAACGAAGGAGACTAGGATTAACAGTAAACCATGCCTCAAACAAACAGAGCTCTGTGACTCAATGAGAGAGAATTTCCAAGTGCCAAGAGCTGGGGGAGCCATAGCTAGAGAGAAGGCTTTTCAAAGTGCAAGGAGAGATGTTTGCTAGCTCTTGGTCTGGGCACAACTGATGAAACAGACTCAGGTACTTAGGGTTTTGTGCTTTCTGTTGAGGCTGGGTGGTAAGATGAGGAGGGGAGAGTTGTGGAAGAAGGAAGAGGCCAGGAATGAAGAGGAAAAAAACAGTCCCTTCCTCTTATCCTGGAAGCTGCTGCCCGAAGATCCTTTCCGGCAGAATTAGCCTGGTCAGCTTACCAGTTGCTGATGCTGTGAGGACTGGAGGAGGGAACCCTGAAGACCATCTGCCCGCCCACTTGGAGGCCTGATACAGTTAGTCTGATGAGGAGTTGAGAGCAAGTCCCCGGGCATAGCCCCTGGCTTTCCAAGCCTCCAAAAAGTGAGAGGGCACCTGCTGTGCCAGCTGAAAATAGTCATTCTTTTTCTCTTTGAAGCGGAATCTCAGACAGGAGGTAATTATCTCTAGCATTCAAAATAATCATCCATAAACTGTACAAAGCCCATATGAAAGGGGCAATATGATGTCTATTAGTGATTAAATCAACCACTTTAGTCATTACTAAGGTAAGTACTTGCTAGCTATAGAAAGTAAATAAAGGAAAAAAAAGGGTCCACTGGGTTTTTTATAGCTGACAGCTTTACTTTCTTTAGAGAACAGTAATAATCCAATCACATAAACATCGTATAGATCTATTTACAAATATTGAAAAGTATACAAATGAGGAAAGGGTGCAACAACATGATTCGCTAAAAAATTAATTCTAATGTATGAAATTCAAGATTTTCCATTAAATTACCTGTCCAAAGGAACCTTTGCCTATCAAGGAATCAATTTCGTAACGATCCATCCACTTTTCTCCGTTTTTTACAATATAATCATAGTTATCATCGTCATAACCATCATTGTAAACCTTCCGCTCCTTCTTATGACTAGAATCGTCTCCCTGGCCCTGTTGGTGCCTTCGCTTCTTTTTTGCATAGTAAACCTATAATGAGAATATATAGTGTTAACTGTGTGATTTAAAACATTACTGGGGATTAAAGGAGCATACATCAAGAGACAATTCTGCTATCAGTAGGAAACTGATAACAAATACCAAAAATGAAATAATTGTCTATAATTGCTATTTGAATTATAGAATAACATTAATATATAACCAATGAAAAATGTCTACAGTGACATTCATTTTTAAATTACACTGTTTATACATTTTATAAATAGATGTTGAGTAACTGGTCCAAAGTATCCCATTCCACAAGAGAAACAGGACCCGATTCACATTTACTTTTTAAACTAAGGTATAATTTATATAGAGAGGTGCCATAGCTCTTAAGAGTGTCATATGAGGGATTTTAAAAAGTTATGTATATGCTGAAGTAATCAACAAATGCCAAACAAAATAAAGAACACTTTTCTCCTCCTCATGTTCAAGTTCCCTCATGCCCCCCCCTTCCAGACAATCCCAATTTTATATTTGATCATAAGGTAAAAGATTTTATAAATGGAAGTTTAAATGTATATAAACTGGTGTTTTACTAATCTCAAAGGCCCTCTGAGACATGCCCAATTTTTAAGCCTATAATAATCTAACAATGAAAAACAGCCACTCCTTCCCCTTCCCTCCCCCGCCCCCATAACACTGAAAACCTTGTGGTTCATCACAGCTTGGGTTATTTTCCTTATATGTTTTTCTTATAAAATAGTTTTTAAAACCAGTAAAAAATAATAAGTGAACTAGGCAACAGTGTAAGTAATTGGTAACTAACTTTGAGGAAATCATAAATTAGGTTTCACAGAATAATATCAGAAAAACTAGTTTACAAGGTAGCAAAGCAGTTAAAAACAAGCTTCAACAAAGTTACTGTTAACAGCTTAACAGGGGCTTTGTTAATTTATCAGATAGTAACAAATTGACATAAATTATTAATAACTTATCAGATATTTTCAGATAAAACCCAGTTTGGCACATCTTTTATAACACATTAATTATGTACATAATCCAACTCAGAAATGTTCCTCATTGAGTTCATTCTAATTTTATCTTGTCACATTAACATAATATTGGCATTAAACAGCAACAAATTGCTGTAAAAATTTATATATACATAAGAGCAATATTTTAGCTAAACAACTCTAAACTTGGTAGAGGATTAACCTTTAATGTGAAAGGATGTAGGGGTCACACTGGAAGAGTAAAGAAAGCACAGGCACATCACCCTTCTACAAAGAAGCTCATTTACTAATTAATTACGGAGCCCGAGTTGAGGCGAAAAGCAAATGGCAATCAAGCCAAATCTAAGACACTAGAAGAATAGTTTTTGGTGGCAAAGAGCCAAGTTGAAAGATGAGTAACTCAAAGTGCTGTCTATGTTTTTATTCTAACCACTTCCACCAAAAAGGCTTTTAGATATCTTATAATGAAAAGATACAGATAAAAGAACACACACAAAACTGAAAGACAATTTAAAACTACAGAAATATAGACAGATCAAATAAACTAGGCCACATGCCTGTTAACTGGGCATTAACTATTTCTCAGAGCTTCCTGATATCCACAGCAAAAGTAGAAACAGATATATGGAAATTTAAGCAGAATTCTAACATACACATACTTTTACAGTGTCATCATTCCCTCACTTTTCCTTTCTCATTTTGTAGAAGTTATAGAAATGATAACTCAACATATATTAAATACAGCTCTGGAAAAGGGGGGAAGTTATCTAAAATTATCTTAATTTTTGCAGTCCTTGTTAGTATATTTTCTTTCTTTTACATAATTATATTATCTATAAATCATTAACTTACCAGTTTTCACAATACTTATCAATACGACAATCATTGGGGTAAAAAAGTTTAGTATATTCCAATAGGTCACAAAATAACTTTTCCCTGCACGATTGCAAGATAGATGCTGTTATAACAAATCAATAGTCTTACCTCATTAATATGCTTATATGTTTTGATCAAGTCAACGGAGAGTTTTCTCAGGGGGGCTGTTGCTGGATCACGGAAGGTTTGGGGCATCCGCCTCTGTAACATGACAATATCAGGCATCACCTTAAATAGACAGAAAAGACTAGCACTTTAACTATACTGCACTGGTATAAATGCCCTCTTCTGTAACCTGTGTGTGTGTATTAAAAAAAAAAAAAAGACATTGACATTAGAAGATTACACATATTCTGTTATCTCTTTAAACCGGATTCCACTGAAGAAAAACACTGGAACGAATCAATGAAATTAGTAGATAATATGGCCAGCTGTTGGTTCCCCAAACTAAACGACGGATTTACAGACATACCCCAGTCCAGGAGACTTGCACGATGCTGCTCAAGAGGGCTTCTTCACCATACAACCAGACCAATGAAAACTTTCTTCTGCATTATTGCTAAAGCCTGACCTGGTTCCCAACAGGCAAAAACAAACCCATCTTGAGCTTCCTAACACAGGATTTCAAGACCCAGCTGGCACCGCAGAGCAGGTGCGACAGGAGGACAGCGCCTGGCACCCCCAGGCTGTGCCCTCTGACAGGTACCGCCCAGTAGGCTGAAATCTGCCCTCACTCCTTTCACAGGCGGAGTAAAGCATGCCCTCCACATCCCTTCCCCCTGCCCTGCTGTGTCACTCTCCACGGCACTTACCACTAACTGACTAGACATTGACGCGTTTACTGGTTTTCATTTTTCCTCCTCCTCCCACTACAAGGAAAATTCTAAAAGGGCAGGGAGTCTTTTGCTCAATGTTGTATTCCCTTTGCCTAAAACAGTGTGTGGCTAACAGTAGGTGTTTAATAAATAGTTGAATAAACAAATGAATCCATTATACCAATATCCCTACTTAAGATTACACACTAGGCGCCGACCACAAACAAGTTCCAGAGGACACCTTAAAATTCATGAAACTTTCTTTTAAAAACCTCATTTCAACCACACTCCACTATCTCCTCCCACCCACCCCAATCCTAAACCACATCTCTTTCATCATCCAATAGGCAGTCGGGATTCCACTGGGAGTGTCCTGCGAGCTGGGGAGACAGCAGGTACATGAAGGGCCTCTAAGACAAATTCTCAGGAGTGCTGCAACCAGCCCATCAGCGACTATGGTTCGCACCCCACTCCCACCAGGTGTCATGATGGAAGGGGTTTCCAATTGGGCTTTTTCCAATGAACAGGTCCTCCAAACCAATTCATTACATCAGGTATCTGCCGCCTGTCCCACCAGCCACCCTGGGTTTCCTCTCTGCTCTAGTGGACTTTATGCCAGTAAAATCTCCTGAGCCTGAAGCCCCTGGTGCAGCCCGGCTCAACGGACACTTGGGTCAACGTGAGGGGCAGAGAGAGAGTAACAACATCACATTAAGGCCTCACAGAAATGGCTGGAGCCTGGGGCTCATGAACCAAGTTAACCCACACTAACAAAAAAGCGGGGGGAGGGGAAGGTTGTAAGGTGTCAGCAGACAGAACAGGAAAAGACCCCCATTCGTGTGGTATGAAAAGATGGAGTTCGCACTGCAGTTACCTAGGGCACTTTCCCTTTAACCAATTTTAACATTAGTGACTTCTGCATCTACACTCAAACCCTACAAAGTTGTTATCCAGATGGCAAATTCACTGAACTACTATTAATAATTATCTCTTCTCATTATCCTCTCCTTCTTCAAGTTCCAAGTAAGGTTTAAGCAGAAAAATCCTCCAGTGATTATAACTATTTGTCTGAAAAGATAGTAAGAATTAATAAGAAAATTTGAATTATTTAATTTCTCTAATATATAGTTTTATTTTTCTAAATGTAAACAGTGGATACTGCTGGTTCAGAGAATATTTTACTCTTACACTATTCCTTGAAGATTTAATTTAATGGACAGTTATCAGTAATAAGCATGTCAATTATTTTTATGTGAGTGAATGCTATAAGCGTTTAAGGTGATAAAAGAGGTTTCCCTTAACATATTTCCCTTTCTACTTTTTCAGACCCTAAAGCAGTGTTTTCATGCAGGTAATTTCATGCAGGGTCTCAGCAAGACCCAGCTTGGACAACTGGAGCGCAGCCTCACTGCGAGGCTTCTCAAAATCTGACCCAGTGAAATATTTCATTACCACTGTAATAAAAGTTGGTAGAAGATATAATTATTGTTAGGAACAAATTACATAAGTAGTTAATAATAAAATAGTAGTAGTAGCAAGTATTAGCTACACACTATGTTTTGAACATGCATATTTCTACATGACATGTAATCCTCTCAACAGTCTCATGAGAATAAGTATAGTTCCTGTCACCATTTTACAAATAAGAAACCTGAGTCTCTGATGTAAAATTACATGACAAAAGCCTTGAGACAGGGAAGAATACAGGTGAGATGAGAACTGATGCCAGAAGCTCCATCAATTTTATGCCTCTATTCTACCCTCTTGGTGGAATCACTTGAAGGCTATTTGTTGGGTAAAATAATTGAGTAATGCATAATAAACACCAATAAAATAAGCATATGCATTTATTAAAATTAGTTATGTACAAAACTGTGAGTGTGTTTAAGTTTTCAACTTGCTGATTTACAATTCCACAGGTATTTCAAATATGTGGAAAAAGAACCAGTGACTACATCTTTCCAGGAGGAATTATGCTCACTCAAAACACCAAAATCACACAATCAAAAAAAACAACTTTGCACGTATAGTACAGAACATGAAATGGGGTATGACAGTGATTTTGAGTAACACCGTTTTTCTGCACTCAACATGGTGTATGCTATGTGCTTGGCACTTCACAAAATATCGCTAATCTCTTCAACAACTGGGCAAACTCTGCCTACAAGGCCAAATCGATTAGCTACTTCTAAACTAAAGACCTCACTTTTCTTATATACCTCTGGCAACAGAAGTTACTATTTCAGGGGCATCTGTATAGATAAACCAGATGCGTTCTGTTGACCAAAAATTGCCTTCAGACCAGGCAGTTTTTTGGAGCTTTGAGTAGTGCCTTGTACAGAGTAGGTGCTCACAATACATGGAAAGAACAAATTAATTTCTACAAACTACATAACATTCCCTTCACTAACTTTCATTGTGATTTCATGTTAGGTAACCAAATTGTTTTTAAATATTGTGCTGCCATAAGCACAAATCCAGAATAGAAAAAACTTTTCCAAATACTCTTGAGTTACAAATCTAGATACTAAGACAAAAGGCCAGCCCTAAGCATTTGATGTTTTCTCTACATCCGGCTTCTTATTGTCACAAAGTCAGGAGAATGTACAGTAATGTAACAAGCTTCTTTCTTCCCTTCTACAGCTGAAAGAAAGCCCATGTGGTGTTGAGGACCCAAAAGCTTACCAAGCTAAAGGTGGCTAGTCCCCTTCCACCACCTCCCCTCCAAGTGTCCTCACTGCAAAAAGGAAACCATGAGATACGCTCCGGCTGGGCGGCCTCCTCTATCTGGCCGTGAGAACTAGAAAAGGCCATGCCCCCACTGCTCACATCTCTTGACCTTTCTGTGCGAAGACCACAGCACAAAGCACCTCCTCCTGCTTAGATCAGTAATGAGCTAAAACATTTTTTCTGAAAAGATTCCATAGTGTAAGGCCCTGAACTTCATTCAAAAATTGTTTCCTAGTTTAATATCTATTCCATCCATTTTATGTTCACCTCATATTTTCATATGTAATACAGAATTAGAAACACTATATTCTGCTTTCTTGCTATTTTGAGAGCTCTTAATAAAGTTGAATAGCATACTTAACACATATCTAGAGCACTGGTTTAGTTTAAGAACTATGAAAGGAACTGTGAAAATTGTAACAGCCCAGAGACTCAGCATTCCAAACATCAATCATCCTTTTCTACACTTGCTTTCACTCTATTTCTTGTTTCCTAAATTTATCTTTTGAACAAACTGTGTTTAAACTTGTATGAAACACTACCAGAAATAAAATGTTAAAGTTAGCTCAGTTCAATTTACTTGTACAGTAAACCTCATTTAAAAAACACTGATAGGATGATTAACAATCAACAGTGGAAATCAAATAATGAAATTATAGACATTTAGAGCTAGAAGGTATTTGTTGTTGGTGGTGTGGGGGTCTAGCCTGAGGTCCCAATTTTACATTCAAGGAACAGATAAAAGGGTCCATGTGACCTGACTCAAGCCACACAACCAGATCATGAGTCAAGACCTTGAACTCATGTCTTATGACTGGTAGACCATGCCACAGCAGCACAGTTTCAGTGTTTTACACTTCAGTTATAAAAAGATCTCTTCTAATCTGACAACCTTACTAGGTCCAGCAATTTCTGTGGTTTGACAGAGGTATTTGGCTGAATATTATTTTATAATATTATAAATACTGAATAGGAATATTATACTTAAAAGACAGCCCTTTCCATCATATCAATCTTTAAAAATATTTACAGCTTAAAATAAAAAAACTAAGTGGATTATCTCTTTCTGTGAAATAATCCACAAATAAAATGCTAGTTGTGCCTAAAAATAGGTACTACGCTAAATAACCAACTACAGTAGCCGTAAAAGTAACTTGAAAGGATTGGAGTTCGTCTAGCCCTGCGCAGAGCCGGTGTCCGAGCTGCAAGAGCACTGTGACTAAGAAGAAAGGAGCCTGATGGACCTGTCAAGTCCACGGCTTGCACACCTGGAGAAGTCACAAACAGGAACTCAGTCCCACAGCCGTACAACAGATAAAACAGACACTCTGCCTGATAAGCTGCTTTTGAACAAGCAGGAAAAGGAAGCCTAACATACTTTGTTTCTTAAAAAGTACAATGCAAACAAATCACTGTGCTATTACTACTTTTTGGATGTCCAGAGAATTTGCTTCTGGTATACAATTAAACACTTTCCAAATTTGAACATTCTGACCAACTGCTCCAATTCTCAAACATATAACTTTTCATTTTACTGCATAAAATCAATTCTTAATTCCTGCCATAATTCATCTTACTGCTTAACTAAATGTTATTCACACGCTATACACATTTTATAAATGTAAAGCTTGCTCAACTACTGACAAAACCTTATTAGTATACATACAAGGGTGCCCTCTAATAATATTACTGAACTATAGCCAATTGCTCATTATAACCATGTTACTGAATTAGAGAAAACACATTTCCTTCAAATAATCCAGTATAAGAAATACTTTGAAATTTCCTAAGTTTTTCATTACCACTTGGTATATTAAGCCAAATTCCCAAGTACATGGAAAAACAGCCATTTTCATAACTCATCATACACTCAACCCCAGTGGGGAAAGAAACTTTTACCACACTCTAGCTAGTAAAAAAAATTCTCGGCAAACCAAAAACTAACAGTGGGTACACATAATTCAGTAAGATATTAGTAATACACACGTACACACATATCAATGTACACGTGTACATATGTACGTGTACCAAGAAAGTTCAGCATTTATTCTCTTTCCACTATCTATCTGATGGAAAACTGCTGAATCTCTAGTCTAAATATTTGAATGAACAACATAGTTAATTCACATTACATTTCTCTTAATTTTAAGGAGTTTTGTACTTATATTTATAAACGTGTACTAAACAGTTTATAAAAGCCCAAAATCAGCTGTAAATTTGCTATAGTGGAATCTGACTTGTTTTCCTATAACTTACATGTTTTCTCCTTTAACAACCTTTCCATTAAAAATAAGATTTTAGTTTTAACTATTCTTTAGAAATACCTGTTCTCCTCCCTATCAGAGAACAAGATAATGTGATTATGAGTGTTGTTAAGTGAAATACATAGAAAAAAAGAAAACAACAAACTTTTTAATGAAAACTTCTGAACACCATATTTTGTCAATCCAGAATTCCACGTGACATGTAAAACTGAAAACCATTATAGCATTTTGCCTATTTACCACTCTACTATTTTAAGGAATAAACTACCATTCCGACGAAAGATTTCTGATACACTGTGAACTTACCTGGTTAGTTAGAGGTTGCTGAATCTGGTCAGAATAAGATAAGGCAGAAACCTGTTGGTCACTTATGTTTGGCTGGCGACGGTCACTGTACTGATGTGAATGGGGCATCTGTCCAGCCATCTGAAGGCCAGCAGCATGGAATGAAAATGACGGTGCAAGCCGAACAGATGAAGGTTTGCATGCTGAAGTCTCTCCTCCTACGAGAAGACAATAAGGGAGGTTAAAAGGACGTCTTCACAGCCTAATGTTGGTATCTTTTGACCTATCTGATAGTTCTTTACGTAAGGACTTTGGGATGTTCAATAATATTAAAAACCTCTAAAACTACAAGCAAGTATATGTCGCACAACACAACAGTCATATGTAAAATTCACTAAAATGAATTTCTATAAATCTGTATTAAGAGGAAATTACAAGTAAATCTCTTTGTAAGGCAATAGGAATAACCTGTAATACTTATTTTCATATATGAGATTTTCCTCAATTGAGAACCATAAATTATATAGATAATCTCTGAATTCTTACGAAGGACCTCGCCAATGGATCGGTTCCTTAGAAACCAACTCAAAGGAACAGGCTGAGGCGCTCCTCTGCACCTGCCAGGTGTATGGTAATCAATATCCCCAGCATTCCCCAAGCCAGGTGAAACATTTGTCCTAACGGTGCTGACCACTGACACAGGTAAGTACAATACACGGAAACAAATCCACGAAATGCTGATTCCTCTGGACTCTCCCAATGCAGTCCTACGGGAACCTAGACCTGGCAAGCTCTCCACAGGACAGTCAATAGTTATCCCACAGGTAGGCTGGGGCCATCCATGGTCATGATTTTCATGGCAGAAATGGAAAACAAACACTTCGGTCCACAAAAGTATTTGGCAGCCAACTAATAAAAGCTAATTCTTCCTTAAAGAAAACAAAAACAAAAACCCTTCTTATGTTCAACCAAACTTGCAACGACTAAAGCCGAAAGGCAAAGCATCAAACCCGAGTCAACAAACTAGACCCAGAATGCCGCCTGTCTTCCTGAACAAACCGCCTACCCCCACCATCAAGCAGAACGCACTATTTTTCCGAGACATACAACAGCAGCACTGGCCCGACAGTGACGAGCACGGATTCCCAGCCAAGCTGCCACTGTCTGAAATTTCAGCTCCACACGTCCGAGCTGTGTGGCGCTACACACCTAATTTCCTGATAATGACAATATCTACTTCACAAGGCTGTGGTGAAGGAAAAGCATTTTAATACACGTAACATACTCAGAACGGCTCCGGCAATTAATAAATGGCTCATTATCGGGTGCAGTTACTGTGCTGTGATGTACAGTAAAGGATGATAGGGACAGTTCCCACTCTTGTGGAATATACAATCTCTACTTGAATGCTGCACAGACTTTGCAAACTGAAGAAAACAAAGCTCAATTCCCCTCAAATATGAGTGCCTCTTTATTCTCTCCCACAGCCCACCAGAATCCAAGCTCTGGGAGACACGTAGGGCTCTTTCCCTCCGAAGACCACCCACCACATGTGAAGTCGCCCAGTCTTCGATTCCATGTCCTATGGATCGATTCCATGTCTCCATCAACCCATGCCTCACCTAGATGACTGAAAGATTCCTAATCATTCTTTTTCTGTCTTTACTCTGCCCATCTGCAAACAACTGTGCATTTCTTCAATCAGATGGCCAGCGACCTTTCTCAAATGCAAATCTCAAGTCCTCCACCCTACTCACCTTGAACAGCACCTGCCTGGCACTGCTTTTCAGACCTTAGCTCCCGCCTCCCTCCACTACAGCGAGGCCCTAAGCTGACCCACAAAACATGGTGAACAAATGTCTGCTGAATAAGTAAAATGACAATGCTCCTACAATGACAGATTAGGTAACTTTTCTAAACATTTCACAACTCACTATGAAAAAAAAAAGTCAAGTCAATTATGTGGAGCAAATCTATTGGGTTAAAAAACAAAAAACTAGGTGTTTAGCCTAAGGAAAAATGACATGCACACAGATAGTAAGGAAGCATGTTTATCTTGGTATTGTTTGTAACAGCAAAAAATTGGAATCCTAAATGTCAAATACAGAGGGGAAGGGAGGTTTTAAATCTGCATGTTAAAAACACAATAAAGGGGCCAGCTTGGTGGCGCAGTTGGTTGAGAATGCGAGCTCTGAGCAACAGGGTCGCCAGTTCGATTCTCACATGGGCCACTGAGCTGCGCCCAAGCTGAGCTGCCGCTGAGCTGCCAACAGGCGGCAAGGTGGCTAGCCTGGTGAGAGTGCATGCTCGCTCTTAACAACAAGGGTGCCAGTTCAATTCCCGCATGGGATGGTGAGGTGCACTACCCCGCAACTAGAATGAAAATGGCGACTGGACTTGGAGGTGAGCTGCGCCCTCCACAACTAAGATTGAAGGACAACAACTTGACAGAGCTCATGAGTCCTGGAAAAACACAATGTTCCCTTCCCCAATTCCGCAACACTATTCCCTTCCCCAGTTCCCCAATAAAATCTTTTTAAAAAATAATAAAAATAAAAACACAAAAAAACTGGGACGAAATGTAAGCGGCTCTTATAAGTAAACAGCACAAAGACGGAGGCCCAAATGGCAAAATACTTAACTACTCTGGGTCTTCGCCGCCCCATCGATGCAGCAGAGGTATTAGGACATTAACCCTGGTCTCTTGGGCTTATGAAATCGAAATGAGATACCACAAGTAGGTAAGCAGAATGGAACCTGGTACATCAAAAGCACACTTTAAAATATTACTTCTGTTTTTATTATCAATGCCATTATTATATACCATGTCTAAACTTATTACACAAAGAAGTGCAAAAATTATGACTCAGGGCCGGCCAAGTGGCGCATTGGTTAACAGCTGGCTTGGGACGCCAGAGGGCCCCGGTTCGGATCTCACATACGAGGGCCAGTGACACTGCCCTCTACAGCTAAGATGCTGAACAACAGCTCAACCTGGAGCTGGGCTGCCGTGAGTCGCCAGCGATGGCGTAGGCTGCAGCCCCTGTGGCAGTGGGTTGCCATGGGCTACTGTGTGTAGCCAGCAGCCAGCGTGAGCAGCCATGGCAGGCGCTGCAAGCGGCCCTCCAGAAGCCCGCGACTGATCTGCCTCGCCTGGGAAGAGCGCAATGATGATGCCAACTTGGGCCAGTGAAGCAACATCCTCCACAACTAGACTGAAGAACAAAACGGATAGCAACTTGTCTGTTCCCCTTCCCCCAATTCCCAGTGCTGTTCCCCTCCCCCAATTCCCCAATAAAAAATCTTTTAAAAAAGAAATAAATAAATAATTGTTACTTAAACAATTAGCAACTGAACCTGTGTGTCAAGAGAAAGAAAGGCCATCCTCCCAGGAACCACCCCACCACTGTGACCCTTCCCAACAATAAATACCTAAATTCCCTCTTTCCCAAGTTACGACCTTAACCTCCAAAAACAGATTAGCTTTAACTTCATATAAATGGGTCTGTTCGCGTCGTGTTATGCTATCATTACTTTATAGTATGCCATTATATGAACATAGGAAGGCTTGTTTATCCATTCTTCTTTTGAGTGACATTTGGATTATTTCCAGTTCAGATACTGTCACTAGGAAGATTCTTGTTAAGTGTCTGGTCTACACGGAGATGCTGTTCTGCTGTTTCCTCCACTAGCAGCTTATGGAAATTCCCTCTACCCCACTGCTTCCCTCACACTTGGAATCACTGGTATTTCTAATCTCAGTCACTACAGGAGGTTTGAGTGGTACTCCACTGGGGTTTTAACCTGTATGGCCCTGGTGACTAGGAACACATCTCTGCATTTCTTTATTGGACATTTGGCTATCCACTTACAGGAAATGCCTATTCAGGTTGCTTTTCCACTTTTCTATCAAGAACGTCTTTTCCTTACAAATTTCTAAAATTAAAAGATTTCTATTTTTAAACAAATTTTAGATATGAGCCTCTTATTGGTTACAAATGATTTGCATTGTTACTCGAACAGTGTTTTTGGATGAACACAATCTCTTATCCACTTTTGCTTTAGAATCAGTGCTCTGGTATCTAAGAACCTTACACCAAAGTCATGGAAAAATTCTACATTGTCTTCTAGAAGTTGGGTTTTAACCATTCACATCTACACGTAGATGGGCAATGATCTTGGATTTGATTTGTTTATATGCACGATAGGAATCTAGTTTCATTTCCCCAAAAAATGGATATCTAATTGACCCAGAATCAATTATTAAAAAGACAAACTTTGTCCACCACTCTGCAGTGCTATCTTTATCAGAAATCACATGCCCATATGTGCTTCGATCTGTTTTGAGATTCTCTATTCTACTTAATACAGACTTACTTAGATTTCTTACCTCATTGTACAAGAACCAGACACTGTCTAAATCATAATAACTTTACAAGTTTTAATATCTAGTAGAGAATTTTGTTCTTCAAGAAGGTTTTAGGGCCGGCCGAGTGGCGCGCTGGTTAAGAGCTAGCTTGGGACGCCAGCTCTGAGCAGCAAGGCACCGGTTCGGATCCCACATGATGGCCAGTGACACTGCCCTCTACAGCTAAGATGGTAAACAACAGCTCAACCTGGAGCTGGGTTGCCGTGAGTCACTGGCGACGGCGTAGGCTGCAGCCCCTGCTGCAGTGGGCTGCCATAAGCTACCGTGTGTGGCCGGCAGCCAGAGTGAGTGGGCGGCAGCCGCTGTGAGCGGCTGTTCAGAGGCCGGCGTGCAACTGCCTCACCCAAGAAGAGTGCAATAATACCAACATGGGCCAGTGAAGCGACGTCCTCCACAACTAGACTGAAGAACAAAAGGACAGCAACTTGTCTGTTGCCCTTCCCTGATTCCCCAAAGCTGTTCCCCTCTCCCAATTCCCCAATAAAATCTTAAAAAAAAAAAAAGAATGTTTTAGCATTCTAAGCCCTTTATATGTCTGTGTATGTTTTATGCTTTGTTTTGTTTTTTAAAGATTTTATTAGGGAATTGGAGGAGGGAAACAGTGTTAGGGAATCAAGGAAGGGAAACAGACAAGTTGCTGTCTTTTGTTCTTCAGCCTAGTTGTAGAGGACGTCGCTTCACTGGCCCATGTTGGTATCATCATTGCCCTCTTCCGGGTGAGGCAGCAGCTCGCCAGCCATCGGACAGCTGTTCACGGCAGCTCATGGCAGCCCACTGCAGCCCCGCTGC